TAATTGAAGAGTGAGTGAGAAGAAACAACTAGTGGGAGAAGATTTGAAAGCTGCTGCCTTCCTTCAGGAAGGAAATAGGCAGATTACCTTAGAATAAACTATGAAACTATAACCTTTTTTGCAATCATTACAATGCATTTTGTTATCACAAGTGAACAACTGTTCTTATACTTCGACGTGAAAGGGCAATGAATGCAAAAGACCGGTTTCAGATTTCGAAGTCATAAAAATGTAAAAAATTAAGAGTTTATGAAAACCAATGATCTTTGTATTGTATCTGTAAATACTTCTTATATGCAATACAAAGGTTGTAAGTTTTACCTCAAACTCATATTCTGCATTTCTGAAAAGACACTAACAGGGTGCTGTTCGAATAATTAGAAAATCGCAGTTTTGAACTAGCTTATTTATTTGATACCGGGGAAAAGCTATATGATGACTCTTATGCAAAGCGGCCATTTTTCATCTGACTGTATCATTCAGATTCACCAAGATGGATGGCAAATCAGGAGAAATTGCTTAATAACATTCTTCTACAGCAAACTCAAACATTTCTAAAGTGTTTTGCTATCAAAATATTGTCTTTTTCCTATATCTTATCTGTGAACATGTCAGAGATACAGGCAAATAACCTAGCTAATCCGCCTAATTATGCAGCATAGCCGAAATTTAGATGATAACAAACTCGTGGGTATGAATAGTCAACAAACGCACCGATGGTTGAAGGTCGGCGGGGAACTCGTACAGCTACCGACCGTAAGCGGGAGAAGTCCATCATTGATCAGAATCATCATCATACCCGAAATAAAGGTTAAATACGTCTGAAGACGTGTATTTTACTTGAAGTATCACGTAAAGTACCTGAAAGACGTGTCCAACTCCTGTTAACTCTGTAGAAACACTGATCGACTAATTATCCAACGAAGATCGAATACAGGACTTACAACAGCCGAGAGGCACTACACAACTAATCCCTTAAATTTGCAAGTATTTACAAATCTTAATTATGTTGTGAATATCAAGCTATAGAAATTTCCGGTTCTCAAACATCCGAAATTTCTCTTGAAACCCATAGCAATCTTTTATTTGCATACAATACAACAGCTTCAGAGACTAAATCGCGTACATGCTGTTTGTGGCTAAAATCGTCGCAAAAACATTTTGCGCGCTTTCGAATTTGAATTTGCTAAAGTGCTTGCGATAAAATTTCCTTTATTTCTGAATTTATTTCAACCACTATTCAGAAAGGCTGTAAGTATAAATGGTGTTATTTGTTCATGAACTTTGACCTTGTGGCTTCTTCATACCTATTACCTTGGGTATGTCGTCTCCTTAAGTACGACACCTTATTTAATTAAATCTGAGTCGAGTCGTTTTATATGTGAGTATATGTGAGCGTCATCTTCAGATGATAGGTTTCATACATATCGCTTCTTCATAAATCTTTATACTGTGTTAAGAAATATATGTAATTTCAAATGGGCAGAAGCGTGGGATATGAAGGTAAGACAGTTTGGTACAAAAAGAATACGTTGAACCGTAATAGCGAATCCTAAGAACGTTATTCACTGTGTGGCCTACATATTCGGGCCAGTTTACCACACTTCATTACCTAACATTTATGATCTCATCTCAACCATAAGATGCTTTTCCAGAAATTGCTTAGATTGCTCTTTCCACTTTCAGGCAGCACAGCGTGTTCGTTCCTGCGTCTGAGATTCAATTCGGCTGTTGAATTTTCTAACAATTGTTTATCGGATGTTACACACCTTACTAATGTCAGGACAATTTGCTGAAAGCTTTTCTTCTCAGATTCTTGTAGGAAATTAGGAATCACGTGTACAATCATGAGTTCCCTGATCCTTATTTTCTTTCTACAAAAAATCTCGACTTTTTTAGAGTCATCATATTGGGGTTTTTACCATGAGGCAATAAAAATCGGTTTATCTTCCATGAAGCAGCTGCTACTTCAGATAACTAAATTGAGTGTTATATTTTCTAAGCCTATATTTTTTTTATTCAAGAGCCCCTTCTGTACATTGAGCTTGCATCATTTATTCTTA